ATATTTTGTAATACTAGTGAACTCTAACATAAGTCCCCTACAGTCCAACCTAGGCCTTTTGATACATCCAAACATAAGAACTGAAGCTAACAAAGACGGGATTAGTACTAAATATACACTAAAATCTCGAAAAGTTATAAAGGTTTTATTTAGGCATGAAAGATAAAAGCAACTAAGTGTAGTATGGCTTCAAGTGTAAGGAAAATGCTACCCTACAGTTACATGTAAGCCAATAAGTTCTGTTACTTAGCAGAAGAATCGATAAACTTGTCGAAATATTTTATGATTGCATACCACTTCATCTACCGATATATAGCCTTATCACAACATTCCATTTAGTAAACTGAATGCCTAAAAGCAGTTGTAAGCTCTGACATCCATGCAAATAATCTAAGTGTCTTCTGTTATTCTACAGATGATGCAGCATAAGAGCTTAAGTGAGTGTAGATATGTCTACTTTCATTCAAATTCAAAAAACCAACATTATATTAGCCTTAGAAGCTAAAAGTCAGATGAATTATGAGGGAAAAGAAAGTGACCGATTAAAACAACACTAAATCTAAAACATTCCTCTTAGCTTCTGTTAGCATTTCGCTAAACAAAACCAATTTCCCTAGATGATACTAGAAAATCAGATAAAATTCTAAAAAATTATAATATACCGTATTGCACTAAACACCTACAAAGTTATTTGCTTTACAACAATACATCATTTACAAAAAGAGCAATACACTACAAATGCTGTTTGTTCTGAATACACTCAATGTAGTTTTATTACTTCTACTACTTTATTTTCTGTAAGTGAATGTCAAGACACTGAAAATTTTGCATTAAGCCAACACTTCCTACTTCGTCTCCGAAATAGTTCGCATCGTAAGTTAGCACCAAACGAAGGACCCTTAAGATAAAGAAGTGGAGGATATTCACTTCACCGGCATTTAGGACTTCTTAGCAAAGTTCATCCTCGATCTGTTTCAAGGTTGGATCCAGAAACATTAATCTGGGCAGTATGCATATTATCATTTAGACAGTGGGTCAGAATTGAATAACCCAAGCTTTATAAATTCCATTACTTCATGTTACTGTATTGAACCTTGAATGTTTGAACTTTTGTTTTTACGCATTCATGTAATATGGTGTCACACCATCTTTGTTCTTCTGGCTTAATTGCTCCAACGTGGCTTGCTCTCTCGTTGTGCTACCTTTAGGCGTACTTTTCGAGATTGCTATCCCAGCCAGTTAACCAATAAGTTGTACAACATTCTTACTCATTAAATTTGACATTTAATCTGTGGTAAAAATATAATTCTCATCAGGTCACACTACCAAGACACAAGCCTTTTTACTTCCAGTTCCTTAATCGATACTTACACGTTAGGTAGATTACTGATGAGGGTATTAAGAGGAGAAGTCTTTAGTAAGTGCAGTTAAGGCCTACCTTAAGTACAACCATAAACTTACAGTATAGAGCCTATCCTGTTGAATGTACCTTTCATCGATGTAGCTTCTATTTGCTTTTTATTGCTGACCATAAACCTCGTGTCAGTTAACCTGCATTTTAACTTTCAGTGTTATTTTTATTAGTTTCACATTAGCCTTTACTTTCTGTTTTTATCCCATTTATTTTCCACGTTGTTTTTACACCTTTCGACATTTATGTTGCAGACATACTCCACATTAGTGCTTATTAACGTTACTAGATACCTTCAAACTTTATTATGGTTATTTTATCAACTGTTTTACAGCTTCTGACAGCTGTCTAGTTAAGACATTTTGATATTAGGTGGAATAATACTTAGTATGCTTTAATATCAGTCTGATTAACTGTTATTATTTAAAAGTCAATCTGAAGCGAATAAAGACGGAATTAGTACTAAATATACATTAAAATCTCGAAGAGTTACAAAGGTTTTATTTAGGCATGAAAGATAAAGGCAGCTAAACGTAGTATAACATATATCAGTAAGCCAGTGAGTTTTACAAATGCAATGAGTATAGTAGCAAGAGTCGTACTATCCAAGACATGGAAAAATATTCCCTGAAGACTTGAAAATGAATTAAAGACCAACCATCAATGGCTAAAATTAAGCTAGTACGTTGGTATTTGCATCAAATCTTTTGTGAAAAACTAATGAAGAGAAAAGGAATTTTTTACCTTAACTATTCTGTTGGTCTTGTAACATATCATTCAGTTTGCATTTGGTTACCATACGGGTTTACGGTTTTTTATCAGCCGTCAGTCTATTATATCATATAGATTTGTCAAATCAACGCCACGTCAAAGTCTGAACAATGTACTTCAAGTTTTGCTATTGAATAAGTTGTGTTCTGTTGACTTAAGTAATCTCTCTGTTTGTGCTAAAATAAGGTTATCACACATCCAGTGTCTAAATTATGCATAGTAAATGGTCAGCAAAATATATTCTTATAAAAACACGAATGTTTCTGCAATAAAATGGCTGTTTTGGTGCTATTGTAACCGTTCTTAACATTTACTGACGAAAAGAAAACTGGCTAAAATAGCCAGGGTAAAAATAAATATAATAATAAGTAAATGACTTAAATATGTACCAAAAACAAGAAGCCTTTTGCTAGCTTCTGAGGTAGCAACCATTCAGGGCTGCTAGAGAAAATAAGCCATAAGAGAAGCCTAGTAGCTAGTCTTTGAAGAAGCATCTAAAGGGTACTCAGTATTATTCCGATTATATGGCTATAATACATCCATGTTTTCACATTCTAGGGTGTGCGAACGCTGTATGTGAATAGTTATCAAACAACGTTGTATGAAAAGGCACAAGTGAAAACTTGAAAAGATTTATTGGTAACGAGTTCAAATTTCGAAGAGCTCGAGGCGAAATGAAATGTGAGAAATCGTGAAATATATATATATATATATATAGTAAACGAAAACCAGTGTTCACTAACACATTGGCAGTGATTTGACAAGCATATGTAAAGTTAGTTTCTGTAAAAGTATAATATGGGGACATGAATTAGTTTTATAGACGTACAGTGAGAGTTTGTAGTGACCCGTTTTATTACTCATCATCGCAGTATACTTTCATTGTGTAATTGTACTTCGATTTGTTTATTACTCTTAATCTTGCATGTTAACAATTGATACTTTTGTACTCGCTCGAATTTTGAATGCTGCAATAATACACAATCGTATTCCTTCGCAAGTGCCTTTTGAATTACGTTGCGGATGTCGAGTAATCGCAACGTTAGGTCACAATTATAAACGCGAAGAAATACAAGAAGATACATGTACTCTAGTTCAGTCAAAATATAGCAGCAACAAGTTAATATAGAGGAGCTACACATTGATATTTTCGAGTTCATTTGAAGATTACTCAGATTGGATGTTTTCATTTGGCCTATGTCTACACAGAATCCATCCTGTATGAGTTGTGGGCATAAGAACCTGCGTTAGTATGTCGTACTCTCCGTAAATGTCAGCACATTCCCTGCATCCCCTAAAAGTCTTTTACTAATTTGTTTGATTTCTGTTTGTACTGTTCAATAAGCTTTCAGTCTTCGTAGTTTATTATTGGGCGCTAACTTTTCCTTTGAATGATTCTAATCAAAGTTTTATAGTTATATACTCTATAAGTTGCTTCTTGGTGAAAGATTATTCTACATTAATTGTATTCTTGCTATGTGGCACGCATCCACATTTTAGTTTATTTCTGAAATACCTAAAATAGGGACATTTCAAAGATCTGGGAATAGTTGACTGTTCATCAAAACCGTTGTGGAAGGTCTATGTGCCATTTCTCCGAGGACAAGGTTGAGACGGTAAATGACTACCCAAAATTACTAGCCGGCAAACCTAATAATTAAACTCTGGGTTCTGACCTTTACTGTCAATTGGCCGAGCTAAAGGTACTCCGTCAAGCATTTACGCCACCTGGTACTATGTTGTGTTACTGTCGGTTGCTCCTGATCAAACTGTAGTTAGCTAAACAAACATCACTACGCTACATTTCTGGTCCTAAAATATGTATCGTACTTAGGAAGGTCGATTTGTTGCTCCAGTATAGCTTCTAACAGTTCTGTGCTCATATGGGACATGTAGATTTAGAGTCGGAGGATATGTACTTTCACTAGTACATAGATAGATACGTCTTGCTTACTCTTTGACAATTGACGCCCTTAATCACATTTCATTTTGATGAGTTCATCCCATTAAGCTTTAGCACTACTCCGGGAATCAAACAATTGCATCACCTCATTCATGTGTAACAAAGTAAAAAATGCTGTAGATAGAGTACTTAACACTGTTTTCTTCTATCCCTTTCAGGAAAATACCCAGGAGTCTATTCCATGGAGCAAGAGGCACAAAGTCTATGAGGAATCAATATCAATAATGATGATTAGACTGTTTGTTTGTGAGGGCTTGATCTGAGCTCTCTGG